GAGTGCCAATGAGGATTAGAACCGTGTTCTAATACAAGCTAGGAGGTGTGGAGTGCACACTTGTATATAAGAACGAGTTCTATTCCAAAGTGTCTACGGCAGTGGAACTCGAGGTAGAACACTCAGTAGACCATCTATGTGGTTCTAGACCGAGGTCTAGAGCGGTTGGGCAGTTTCGTGCAGTTTTTCCAAAAACTGTCACAGTTATTGCAGAACGTGTTGCAACTGCCCAGGACGTGTAATATGTTATATATCATCATATTTCGTACAGAGAATGATGAGGAAACATATCCAACATATCTTCATCATTTTTGGCATTCAACTGAAGATATCAATCCATATACTCACTAGCTTGGTTTTAAAAGGCACGAGGCGCCTTGAGGCGATTTTTTTGATTTACCCGAGGCGCGAGGCGCTAGGCGGTGATGCGCGCGCATCACGGATCTCAGCCCCATTTCCCTCGTTAAATATATTTTTAGTACTTCTACATGAAGCACTCTTCTCAAAAATACTTCAAACTATTAAACAATCTTAATAAACATCATAAGAGAAACAAAATATTAATTAAAGAGAATAAGACAGAAGCAAGAAATATATGTTTAAAGGCATAATTGCCACAAGTCAAGTCACAAAACTCAATCTTAAAGCTTCAAAACATAATTAAACTTGCAAGCAATATTGTCAACAATATTCATCACTGTCATCATCCTCATTATCGAGAGTAGCAAGCTCAACATCGTCATTTCCTTCATCATCAGTTACTCCTAAGTCTTCCTCCCAAGTTTCTTCAACAATCCTCTTGCCTTTGTCATTGTTTGATGTGCTAGCTCCATCATTCCTAGCTGCTGATCTAGTGACGTAACTAGGCTCATATGCTCCAGCAGCTCTAGCAACTGCCCCCCATGTCAAAGTATCATCTTCAAACACAAAATCATCATCTTCGTCATCATTCTCCATTCTTCCGAGCAACCACTCATTACTTTCATCAATCTCTTCTAACAGAATGGGATCGGTGGTGTCTTTCCTCTCATACCGTCTTTTCAAAGCACGGTTATATTTTACAAAAACTAAGTCATTCAAACGACTTTGCGCCAATCGATTTCTCTTCTTAGTATGAAGCTGTCAAAATGAAATTATGTAAATATTTGAAATTTAAAATCTATGAAAATTAACACGTTTAATTTGCGGATTAGAGCTTACATGCTGAAAAACACCCCAATTTCTTTCACAACCAGTGGCACTACAAGTGAGGCTAAGGACTCGAATAGCGAACTTCTTCAAATTAGGAACAGATGATCCAAAGGAATTCCACCCATCCGCTGGTGTTTGAGTTTCGAGAGTTTAAAAAATAGTTAATTGAAAATCATTTGAATTTATAAACATAAATTCTAATTTGTTATAGAAAGAATTATAAGTTAAAAAAGTATCAGGAGATTTTATTTTTCTCTGCCTTATGGCTGCCGGGATGCCGAATAAGCCTTGTGCACTCGAATATGCATCCAACTCCTTGATGACTTTATCTTGGTCTTCAACATCAACAACCAATCTAGCAATACTAGCATACAAGTCATTCATCACCTCTTCATCATTCGTTATGCGTTCTGAATCATCATAGAAGAGTTCCGGGTTCAAGTAATGCCCCGCAGCATGTAACGGCCGATGCAACTGACATTGCCACCTCTCATCGATTATTTCAAATGTTTTCTTATAAAATTCTTCTTTTTCTCCGAAAGATTTTGCAATGGTCTCCTTAGCCCTATCCATGGCTTCATATATGTATCCCATGGCCGGCTTTCTTTCTCCATCAACGATCCTCAACACTTTCACAAGCGGCCCCACCAATTTCAAAGCATAAAGAACACTCTTCCAGAAACTCTCTTGCAATAAATACGACGCAACTTTCTTTCCAGCTGCTTCTTTTGACCATTTGCTTGATCTCCAATCTTCCGAAGTCACCAACTTCCTCAAATTATTCTTCTGCTTGTGATATTGAGAGAGAGTGATAAAAGATGTAGCAAATCTCGTGATGCCAGGCCTATGCAAATTCCTTTGGCCTGTGAATCTCCTCATCATATTCACAAGACCAACATAGGAATAGATAAAACCGTTCATAAAAACTGCCTTCTTCAAAGCATTGTGAACTTTGGGAATCTTCCCAATGTCCTCTAACATAAGATCAATGCAATGCGCAGCGCAAGGAGTCCAATAAAGGTGTGGGCGTTTTGCTTCTAGTAATTTTCCTACGAAAGTTTTAAATCACAGTTAACATTTTAGCTTTTTGTTAAAAAGAATGAAAAAACATTTGTAAAAAAGTAAAATTGATATAATCATATAACTTACCCGCTTTCACATAAGCGGATGCATTGTCAGTTACAACTTGCACTACATTCTGCTCACCAATTTCTTCAATCATTTCGTCAAGAATATTAAACATAAGATTTGCATCTTTTGAGACTTCTGAAACATCCATGGACTTAATGAACACTGAACCCTTAGGAGAATTAATTAAAAAATTAATGATCTCCTTTTGGGCAACAGTATCACGCCACCCATCAGATAACAACGAGCAACCTTTTAATGCCCATTCTTTCTTGTACTCATCCAGCATTGTTTGGGTATCCTCCACTTCCTTTCTAAGTAATGGAACTCTTAACTCGTACATGCTAGGTGGTTTCAGTCCAGGACCAAATTGCCCAATCGATTCAATCATAATTTTAAAACTATCATAATTGGCAGCATGAAATGGAAGAGCTGCATCAATAAACCACCTAGCTATGTCTCCACATACTTTAGCCCTTAATTCCTTTTTACAAACTTCATTGATGGTTTGTTGCTTCCCGCTTTTTTTTCCTTTAAGGACATCTTCGGGGTTAGGTCTAAAATAAACATCAATTGGACCCTTTTGTCTTGGTCTTTTGGCCGATGGCAATTTATTTGTGAGATCCACACAATCTTCTTCCTCATCACCATCATACTCATAAAGTTGGGCCATTTTTGGGAGCAACTCGTTTTCTTCTTTGGAAGCTTGTTTTTTCAACATAAATGACTTAATTTCTTCCCGAACATGTTCAGGACATTTAGGGCATTTGGTAACATTCCTAAACCCTCCCACAAGATGTTGTTTTAAACGAAAAACCCCTCCCTTAGTTACTTTCAAACAGAAATTGCAAGTGAAATTGTTCCTATTGGTAGGATCCGGTATCGCATATTTTCTAGCAAGGTCCCTAGCTTCGGAACAACCCGCGGAAGAAGTTGAATTTGAGTCCATTGAATCCCTAACAAATATATGGTATTGAAAGAAATAATCACAATATAAACTGTGATAAATATATTTTAATTTAAAATTTAAATAATTAATGTAATAAACTGTGATAAATTAATAGTCATTTTGTGATAAATTAAATAATTAAGTTGTATAAAAACTGTTAATAGTAATTTAAATAATTAATGTAATAAACTGTGATAAATCAGTAATCATTTTGTGATAAATTAAATAATTAAGTTATATAAAAACTGTTAATACTTAATAGTAATTTAAATAATTATTGTAATAAGCTATTATATAAAAATTTGTTAAAAAATGTTAATAATAAAAACTGTCATTTTTTGCAATACATTGTTAATAAATCAGTGTTCTAACACTAAAATATATATTATATAGTATTATGATATTATCATTGTTATGCAATTGTAATATACTATAAAATAATACATATTTAATTAATAAACTATCACTCAAATACAATTCTGTAAAATTAATTACACACAGATGTATGGTCAGAATCTGACTTTTTATTCAAATAATTTAGTGTTAGAAGATAAAAACTTAAAATATATTTTTATTCATAGTTAATAATCTGTCTGACGTTTATATACAATTCTGTAAAATTAATAACTACGTACGGTCAGTTATCTAACTTTTTATTCAAATAATTTTAATATTTTTATAAATATAACAACTTAAAATAAAAGAGAATAAATAAAAGAAGATAAAAAAATAAGCAGACTTACCTCTGCGGCTCTGCAAGATCGGAAGCAGACTTACGCGTGATAGAAGGCAGAAGCGCAAGATCGGAAAGGTCAGAACCTACGCGTGATAGACTTACGCAAGATCGGAAAGGTCGGAAAGGGCAGAAGCGCAAGATCGGAAGCAGACTTACGCGTGATAGACTTACGCAGATGAGACGGTAAATTTATCTGTCTTTCTCTTTAAGCAGAGAAAGTCTCTTTACGCAGATGAGGAGCTTAGAAGGCAGAACCTACGTTGTCAATTTATAATACCACTGCAGAATTTTCTGGAACCAGAATTTGAAACGCCAAGGAATGGGAATCGACAAGGAAGGGTAATCGCCAGAATCCATGAGGCGGCTAAGGCGCTCGCCTCTCAGAAGCGAGAAAGGCGCAAATAAGCGGGAGAAGCGCACGCCTCGTAAACCCTAAGCCGCCTGGCTATGTAAAAGGCGATGACTTCTTCGCCTTTATGCGCCTCGCGCCTTTGTGCGCCTCAGGCGCGCTTTTTAAAACTAAGCTCACTAGTTTGGCTCTAGTTCTTGTGCCTAAGTTCTAGAGTGTCATTAAGGATTATCCTAGATTGAATTTCTTGTAACCCAGGCATAGGGGAGAAATATCAATTCGGAAGGTGAACTTACACGATCCTTAAGCAATCCAAGTACTCGATTATCACCCCCTACGTGATTTACCCCAACAATTCCGAAATGTACTCAAAATGGACTTGTCCACTAAAGCCTTAAACAATTTCGAATCCATAGTAATCTTTACAATAACTGTAGAAGACTACCCTCACGGGCAGCAAAGTAGCAATTCCTTAAGTGGTTATAAGAGCTGGCAATATGCAAGGACATATGACTGGAATGGAGATAGCTTATATTTGAATTGTCAACAAATATGGATTCATGTCCTTAGCAACGACTAACTGCCACAGGAAGGTTGGATAAAAAAGCAAAAACAGCTAAAATAAATAGCAAGTAAAAATAACAGACCGGGCATGCAGTATGGTCCCCATGCTTCCTATTTGAGTTGCAATGACCTGAGCAAGTTACAAGAATGAAATCATAGAAACCTCGCAATTGTAATTTAAAAAAAAAAACTCATAACGAATTACGGGATTCAGAACTCACAAGAAAATGGTCTTCGTAACTACATATGATGATATCTGTTTTATTCCCCTGAGAAGACAAATAAAAAGAAATCAAATTTGAGAAGAAAAGAAACTGTCGGGCCGCGGCTATATGAATTTCTACTGCGGCGATACAAGAGAACAATGCGATACAATACATCAAACACTTGGTGCGCATAGTTTTTATCACACATAAAATGGACTGAAATTGAGTATTTGCTCAGACATTTCAGAAACAGGATGAGCTGTGTTTAGCTTCTAGACACTTATGTCTTTCCAGCTTCAATATCATCGTGGGGGATAGTGGAACAACATAAAAATGAAAAGAACAAAAAAAACAATGTGAAAGCCATACGCATACGAAAAAACCTGGATGTCAAGAGAGAACTGCGTGTGGCGAACGGGAAAGTCCAGTGGTGAGATATTCTGATCCATCAACAATGAATTTAGAGTTTCAGACCAAGCTTTTGCAGAGAAGACCTGGGTCTATCTTTAGGGGGAAGAACAAATGATATGCAGAACATCAAATTTTGCAGTGAGGGCCTCGGTTTCTTTAAAATGGAAATAACGTCCACATAGTTTTCTGGGTCATCATAAGACTATAAGAGTGAGTAAATGACGGAACAGAGTAGAAAATGAGCGGTTGTTTCCGAATCGCGTTGATGTATTTTTTGACGAAAAAGAGTAAAACAGAGTTGAGTACTCCGAATTTGAAGTGGTCATCAGCAGCTTTGAACATTTTCGGATCTGACAACTCCGAAAGCCGTTGGCGTCAGAAATGTCAACCGTTTTACCATTTTCGGAGCTGACAACTCCGAATGCAGAAGATAAGGATTTTCGAGGCTTTTTATTGGCCCGTCGGATTCCAACCTGATAAAAATTTTGCATAAATAATGCTCCAGTCACCTCCTCCCCACTTTCACACCAGCCAACATCTCCTATCCTCCTCCCACACTTTCACACCAACCAAACAAACAAGGCTTCTTGTTCAAAGGTTAGAGTTTATTATTATTATTATTATTATTATTATTAGAAAAAGAAGTTTAATATTATCTGTTTTTATTATTCCATTAGTAGTAATAATTGTAGAACTTTTTCATATTTACTTACTTCATATTTATTAATTATAGTTATGACTTTGTAGTAGTTGTACACCTAGTATTTGTGAATATTTATCACAATGGATTGTGATTTATTCTTGTTTTTTCCAAAAAATAAATTATGTAATTGTAGAAATTGGTATGTGTGTTTAATTACCTAATTCTCAAGGGTTGCTTGTTAATAAGTACAATTTAATAGTGGACACATAAAAATATAACATTAGTTTTATTGTTAAACTACATAATATTATTGAACACATTTATTAACACTAAATTAAAAACATGATAAAAAATTTAGTATTTGTATACATATTAATTGTAGGTTGTAATGGTTGAACGAGTTGCACACCCTGGCCCTCGGGATCGTTCTGTTTTAGTTATGATACCCGGTGAGCATCGTGTCGATCGTGTGTGGCACGAATCAGCATTTCGAGATGACAAACTGAGGTGCCATCACTATTCGTCGTGTGCCTGTGTTGATGATGGTCCGCGTCATCCTGGGGTGGTACGGTTGTTGAGAGCATCTGGGTTTCACAGTGTCGAGAGAATAGGACAAGTGCAGTTAGATTGGTCACTTGTGACTGCGTTAGTGAAGAGGTGGAGACCTGAGGTACACGCATTTCATTTGCCCTTTGGTGAGGTAGGATTGACTTTGCAGGATGTGCAAGTCTTGTTGGGGTTGCCCATTGACGGCATACCACTCACTGGTCCCACGATTACTGATAAGGCAACGTTGTTGCAAATGTGTGCACAGTCTGTTTGTAGCACCGTCCCCAAGCATATTTACTTTTAGTAAATTATGTAATAAACCTTGAAGGATGATTTATGAATTTGCGTAATTGTAAATTTTTATTATTTCTTTTACGTGAATAGTAAATTGCATGTGGGGCCCACGCCCGGACCGGGGGGCGCCCGATAATTTCCGAACCACATATTATATTCGTCTTGGTCTAGATGACATCTATATGGTGATGGATATCCTATTTGGGCCATAAGAAAGGCATGGAGTTGACCGGTCGGTCAAACGGGACCCAATTACCGGTATTGGTAATTTAGCGGATAACAGCCCGAAATGAGTTTCGGAGGCTCCAAAATTAATGTTGGGGAATGTACATCTATTCTAAAGGCCCATAATTATTGGGAACGCGTGATATATTTTATTTGGTCCGATAAAATAAAATATGATTAAAACGGGCCGAGAAATACAACTTTCGGGGCCGATTGTACACACCGGGACGTAATGGGATGACCTCCCACATAAGTGGGGGACACCCCACGTTTTTATGGGTGCTGATTGATCAAATAATGGGGGAGGGGAGCAGCAAAACGTGCTGGTACGCACAAGGGGGAGGGAGGAAGTCTCCTTTGAGACAAAAACTCATGTTAAGGGTCCTATCTCACACAAATCATTTGTGTTGATTGAGAAGGCACCCTCTCTCCACCCCTACACTCATATGACCGACACAAGAGGAGAGGATCTCCAGGAAACCAAATTCCCAAGGCCTCATTGAGGAAGAAGAAGCTAGAGAATCCAAGGAGAAGAGCTAGGCTTGAGGTAAGAACACCAAATAGCTCTTTAACTAGTTTTATTGTGCATGATTTTTAAGAAATCATATGGTGGATTAAATCACGAGTTATACACGTTTAAAAGTGTAGAATATTGATATAAAGTGGTGGTAATTAACTTAGGAGGGTTGGCCAATCGATAGGAGTTGAAATCGCCGGAAACCGCCACTTCAAAGGAGCTAGTCGTAGTTGCAGACCACGAAAGCCGCCCGGCTTTCGTGAAAGCCGCCCGGCTTTTGCCCAGAAATCCAGTTTTCCACTTTCAATCGGCCTAGAACGGGGATTGATCGAGGAGCTTAGCAAAGGCAACTATTTCAGCACTTCATAAGGTGAGGATGGCTGACTATATTGCTTATAATTAGTGAGTTAATTTCATAAGATTGCCTAAAGTATTTAGATAGGATTTTCATGGATTATTAATGATTAATAATGCCTAAATGAAAATAATATTGATATGAATGAGTGAAGCATGATATACAAATTTAGAACAATTGTGTATGATTATGTGAAATGAATGGAACGGCATGTCAATGAAATTACTATGATGACATTGTGATAAAATATACTTTTACTTCATGTATGAAATTCATGAATGGTTAAAAGTGATAGTTTTGATATTTGGATTAAATTATATTTGGATTGGAAAATCAATCGATATGAATTAATTGGCTATGACTTAAGAACTTGGCGGTTCTAAGATTATCCGACTAGTGTTGGAATACTAATCGGGAGATTAATATAAATAAATGATGGAATTAATCCTAAGAGATAGGATTGTAAATGAGTGTGCCTTAAGTAGACTTAAGAGATACTTTAAGGTTGAATTATATGAACACTAAGGTGTGATAGGGGTAGGCCTAAGGCTACCCAAGGCAAATGATTCTAGGCATAGGATTTGCTTGAGAATCGGATTATGAAAATAATTAGAGTTGGACTCTAGGATGACATGGAAATGTAGTTGGGCCGAGCCCATGCCATGTAATATGATTTGCATGGAAACGTAGTTGGGCCGAGCCTTTGCCATGCATATGTGATCTCCGTGGAAACGTAGTTGGGCCGAGCCCTTGCCACGAAGTTATGGTCGGTATGGAAACGTAGTTGGGCCGAGCCCTTGCCATACAAACTTTGATATGTTATATTGAGTCAGAGGCTTGTATAGAAATGTAGTTGGGCCGAGCCCATGCTATACAATTGGGGCTCGAGGGGACCCCACGGGGTTATCGTGACTTGCGGTCACGGGGGAATGGAAATAATGAATTCTAACTGAATATGGGCTCACGGGCCGACTACTTGACTTTATATAAAGTAAGTACAGTTAAAAGAAAAAGGGGTAACCGAGGGTTATGGTCTATAATATAATAGTACCCTAAGATGAGGGTCTTAGAAATTAAATCATCAATTATACTTAGTATAGTTGCTATTGTACTTGTCAAATATTTCCAAGTACTAACCTCCCCTTCACGGGGGAGGCCACCTCACAGTTTCAGGTAGAACTTGAAGGTTGCTGCCACCGCCCGTTGCTTCGGGAAGATCCAAGGAAGAAGACGTGGTTCGTGCTTCTTCCATTCTGTTTTAAAAACAATTAAGTAAATGCTCATGGACACTATTTTATTAATAATTACTTTGGGGGCTTGTATGCCTAGTTATGCCAAGTGTGGCTTGAACAATTGAACTAATGCTTCCGCTGTTTTAAATGCACGTTTTACATTATGTTTGTTTATGGATGTGCTATGTGTGAATGATATTCGTGACGCCTTGTATAGTATGGATGAGTTGAACTGCGGTTGACTATTCGTACTGTACGGCGGGTTGTTGACGTGTCCGGCTAGGTCCGGGGCGTGACAATTTAATTGGTATCAGAGCCTTAGTCCGTAAACATCATAATGAAGCTTCAAAACTTCTTTTTGAAAATGAATTTGAAAACCATGAGCATAAGGTTTTGTACTTATAGAACTTTTGGTACTTGAGTTGCAATGTCTCTAATTGTTAAGATGGTACCCTTAGAAATTGGCATGGCGGTGATTTGAGCCAAATGATGTCTTTAAGTGTCTATCCGTCAATTGACATTTGATATGAGTCTAATGACTCATTCTCAATTTCTTTCAGAAATGGAACATACCGGGAAAGTGACTAGGAGAAACCCGACTGGCCGAGCACCGGGAGGATCCGTGCAAGGCAGTAGAGGGGCTTCTAGGGTGTCCAGAGGACAAGGCCGTGGAGGCCAAGATCAGACCGTGAGTGACAGTTATGTGGAAACAGTCAACGAGTCATATGAATCCGAGGAGGATTCGACGTATCAACCGGGAACTGAGCCGGTTGAGACCCCATATGATGGGGAATATGATGATGTTAGTGAGGGGAGCGACGATGACGACGCTCTAGAAAGGATGGAGGAACTACTCTGTCAATTTCAGCAAGATCGCCAAAGGCGCCGGGCAAGGCGTGCTTTGGGAGGGGCTTCAAGAAGGGGAAGCCATGCGGGTTCTAGGGGACACGTAGAGTCCCGAGTAGATCGAGGTGTTGAGGTCCCGATAATAAGGATCTCGAAGTACCTCAAGGAAGCAAGAGATTTGGGGTGTAAACCGTTCGATGGAACGGGAGATATATCTGTTGCGGCGGAGTGGATCAAGAGGTTCAATGAAGCGGCCCTTGATATGCAGCTGCCGCCAAACATGAAGATGAGAGTAGCAACAAGGTTGCTAGAAGGGATGGCGTCCACATGGTGGGACGGTGTCAAGGGGAAGTACGGTGAGGCCGTAACTTGGGAGAATTTCCGACAGGAATTCTTCAACCAATACTACTCCGACTTCGAGGTGAACTTGAAGAGGAGAGAATACACCAACTTGACCCAAGGAGGCAAGTATACCGTGAGGCAACTTGAGCACAAGTTCAGGGAGCTCGTGGAG